GGTCATGATCCCAGGGTCCTGGGATCGAGCCCCGCATCGGGCTCCCTGCTCAGCGGGAGGCCTGCTTCTCCCTCTCCCACTCCCTCTGCTTGTGTCCCCTCTCTCGCTGTGTCTCTCTCTGTCAAATAAATAAATAAAAATCTTTAAAAAAAAAAGTCAGGATGGTGGTTACCTCTGTGGTATAGGTAGAATTTGTGGAAGGGCACTTGGAGGGATTCTGGGTGTTGGTTTGACTTGAGTTGTAGCTACATGGGTATTTCCTTTATTTTTGCTAACCTCAAAGTAGATCTTTTATCTACTTTCCTGTAGGTGATTTTATATCCCAGTTTAAAAAAAAAAAAAAAGGAAAAGAGATGGTTATGTGGAATAGAATAGAGAATTCTAGAAACTGACCCAGATGAGTGTGTGAATTTATTACATGATATATGAGGCATTTTAAACCGGTGGGAAAAAAGATGTATCAGACAATAAATTGTTAGGGATAATTGAATTGCCTTGAAATCCTAGAAAAAACTTAGATTCCCAGCTCATTATGAATAAAAATTTATTTTAGATCGGTCTAAAAATAAAAGTCTACAAACATTTAAAAATCTAAATATAAATTAAAGATCTAAATATAAAAATGAAACTAAGCGGCAGAAACAAAATATAATATCTAGGTTAAAATTTCTTCCTTAGCGAAACAATATATTCAGGTATCACAAAGGAAAAGATTGGCAGATTTAACTATGCATAAATTACAGACTTCTGTGCGGTGAAAGATAAAACAAACAGCAACTAGAAGAATGGGGAAAATATTTGTAGCATCTGTAATAGTCTTATTTTCTGCAATATGCAAAGAGCTCCTAAAATTGAACAACCCCACAATTAGATGAACAATTGGTATATAAAAGGAGAAATGTTAATGTCTCTATACTGGGAGATATTCTTAGCCTTTGTAAAAAACAGAAATTAAAGATAGATTGATAGTATTTGTGAGACTGTGAGTAAAAGAGCTCTTTGGTGGGAGTATTGGTGCAGACTCTTGGGAGGGCAGTTTTTCTCAACATTTTAAGTTGTGTTAGACATGTACTTTCATGTCTAGAAAAATTGCCCTTCTGAAAGGCTGGCATATGGCACAAAGATGTATGTACAAGGAAGTGCCTTAAAGCATATAGAGTAGGAAAAAAGTGGAACCACCTAGTTATCCATCCCTAGAGGAATGCTAAAATTAATTAATTATATCCATTGTATGGAATATTGCCATTGTTAATTTGCTTACTACAATGTGGAAATGTCAAGGAACATTGTTAATAGTAAAAAACATTTTTCCATCTAATAACACATTTTTATTACATTTATGTAAGAAGCATAAAAAGCTAAAATTCTATGTATGTATACAGTTATGTATATATGTGTGTATATATTTAAGTGTGTCTTGGAAGGATACTCATGAAAATATTGACAGTGGTTACCTCTAGAAGTAGAGTGAAGTAGACTAACTTCTTACTATTGTTTGAATTTTATATAGTGAACATATATAACTACTTTTTAAAAATTTATCTCTTTAATATTGGGCTTTCTAAATGACATTCTGTTTTCATATTAGAAAACTGAAAATTAACGTCTGTATCCAAGGACAGAACTTAGTGATTGGGGAAGAACCCTTTTCCACAGTTTCTTTGAATCTAAGGTTCCTTTTTGTTTAACACCATATTGAACACTACAGTCATTCTTTTATTTTTAGGGATTTTATATATATATCTTTTGTTTGTTTGTTTATTTTTTCCTGCTCTAGTTTTTATTATTTCCTGGCTTTGGACCTTGTTCTTTTTCTAGCTCCTTTAAGTATAGGGTTAGGTTTTGTATTTGAGATTTTTCTTGTTTCTTGAGGTAGGACTGTATTGCTATAAACTTCCCTTTTAGAACAGCTTTTGCTTTATCCCAAAGATTTTGGACTGTTGTGTTTTCATTTTCATTTGTTTACATGTATTTTTTTTTAATTTCTCTTTGAATTCTTGGTTGACCCATTCATTGTTTAGTAGCTTATTATTTAGCTCCTTGTATTTGTGTTCTTTCCAGTTTTTCTTGTGATTGACTTCTAAAATCATACCATTGTGGTTGGAAAGGATGCATGATATGGTTTTAATCTTTTTGAATTTATTGAAACTTGTTTTGTGGCCTAACATTCTGGAGGATGTTGCATGTGCACTTGAATGTGTATTCTGAGGTTTTTGGATGGAGTGTTCTGTATGTATCTGTTAGGTACATCTGGTCTAGTGTGATTTTCAAAGCTGTTTCCTTCTTGATTTTCTGTCTGGATGATCTATCCATTGATGTAAGTAGGTGTTAAAAGTTCCTTACTATTATTGTATTATGGTAGGGATAATATATTTTGAAACAGAGTCATGGCAGTATTTGGCTTCACCTTTTTCTTATTTTCAATTTCCACAAATTTGAATTGTTCAAATACGTACCTCAAAATTCTTATCTAATTTGTAGTTTTACTTTTTGTCCAGGCCCATCAAATCCCAGTGAAGAAAGTGAATCCTGGAGAAGAAAGGAGGAAAATGTTTGAGGTATAAAGACATCTGTCTGCTTATTTTAAAGCTTTGCAAAAACAATTCTAAGAAAAGAAACAAAATCTTATAAAACCTCCAAACCTTTCCTCCTTATTTCTTTCAAACAAATAAACCTTTAACTTAATCCTTTTTTTTTCCTTCCTAATCTCCCTGGGCCTACCTCTACCATTGGTATACTAACTTTCCTTATGAAACTAGAAAAAGTAGGAATTACTATTGATAAAAATGTTCTTTTTTATTTAAGGAAGCAGCAAGAAAGAGAAGGTTGGAATTTATTGAAAAAGAAAAGAAACAAAAGGATCAGGTAGTTTTTTTGCTTTTTTTCTACCCTTGCCAAGTTGTAGACGATAATAGTTTCAAGAGTTCTAAGAAGTTTGTCTTTAAAATTGTTACAGATTAGTTTAATGAAGGCCGAGCAGATGAAAAGACAGGAAAAGGAAAGGGTAAGAGGATAATCCATTTTTCCACGGTACATCCTACCCCCTCCCCACACACATACTTTTTTTTTCTCTAAAGGCATACACTGATTTCCATTGTGTTAGTAAATGTATTTCATGTATTTTATATTAAATACTTGAATTGTGTTTTGTTTGTTTCTTTTCCCCAAAAGTTGGAGAGAATAAATAGGGCCAGGGAACAAGGATGGAGAAACGTGCTAAATACTGGTGGAAGTGGTGAAGTAAAGGTAGGCATTGATACCCATGTGGTTACACTATTGTGGTTTTTTATCCAGTTTCACCTTGCTCTTTGAAATGTATATAACTGGCTTTAGGAGGGGGGAGGTATTAACTTTTTACCTAGAATTCTTCATCTATTACAAATTCTTAGTTTTCCTACATGTATTTGATATCTAATTTGTATTGATAACTAATATCTGACACTGTTAAATTGTTTAAGAAGTTTGATGTGAAGGCTATGATATGCCATTCCTTCCAGAAGAATCTTTTTAAAATCAAATAAAATTTGTCACACCTCTGCCGAAAATCCTTCTATTGCTTCATCTAGCCTTAAAGATTAAGTTTTCTTAAGATCCTTGTTCGTCTGGCCCCTGCCTATCTCTCTAAGCTCATCTCCATCCATTCCCTACCACACACTATGGGCTCAAGTGAGGCTGAACTAAAGACCATACTGGTAATTTTCTTATTGTGTGTAGCCTGCCTAATCTCTTTGTCTTTGCACAGTGTTTTCTTTACTTGATGGCACCCCTCCCTTCACTGTCAATTCCACATCCAATGATTTATCTGGATAGCAGATTACCTAGCTAATCATTTATCTAGATATATTAATTGATATTTCTTTTGGGTAGATCTAGACTCTTTAACCTTGGGCAAGTTACTTGTTTTCTGAGCCGTAATTTCTTCATTTAAAAAAAGAAAGAAAGAAAGAAAAGAAAAGGAAAAAAAATTTCAAGAACAATGCCTGGAGTGTGACTAGCAAGGACTCATAGGTTTAACTTCCTGTTTCTTTCTTTGTTCTGCTTATCTGAATCTTATATTTCCTCTTCTTCTCTTGTAGCATCCTTTACATATCTGTGGTAGGCTGAATTCTAAGATGGTCCCCCAAATTTCTGATTCCTGGTATAGATACCTTGTATTCCCTCCCCTTGGTGGAACCCTATGAATAGGGTGGTATTGTAGCTCTCTTGATTACGTTTTGTTACATGGTAAGTGGTGATGGGATAGTCACTCCTGTGATTACTGTTGATATTTGATGAGACTCCTCATAGCAGACTGGAAGGGGAGAAGAAAGTCTGAGAGACATGCTTCTCCTGGCCTGGAAAAAAAGCAAACATTCATGTTGCAGGGAAGTATAGGTGGCCTTTAGAAGTTGATAGTCCCCTTTGGCCAACAACTAGCAAGAAAGTGGTGACCTTAGCATTATGGCCACAAGGAAATGAATTCTGCCAGGATCCAGTGAACTTGAAAGAGGATCCTGAGCCTCAGATGAGAATTGCAGTTCTGGCTGATGCCTTCATTGCTGCGTGGTGAGATCCCGGCCAGGAGACCCAGCTAACCACATCCAGACTCCTGAGCCAGGGAAACAGTGAGATAATAAATGGGTATTGCCTTAAGCTACTAAGTTTGTGGTAATTTGTTACACAGCAATAAAGAAATGAATATACTTATATTCCTCTGTATTATAATTTTAATGTATGTTATCCAATCAACTTTTAGTCAACATGTCTTTAAATTTTGAATTCCCTTGACCCAAGCTCTTAAACTTGGTATTTAGGTATTGAATAGATTTGTCAAATTGACTTGATTACCTTTTTTACTTCTTTTCCCCAAAAGTTATGATTTGAATAAAAGTTTGTTTTATATAAAAGATATGTGTGTTCTGTCCTGGCTTTCACATTTTTCATATTACATATTAATAATTCAGTAGAAGTCACTTTTTCTAATTCTGTATTAATATATTATACTGTTTTTAGTAATATAAATTTATCTTTAAAATTATACTTTACCTTTTTTGTGCTGTACTATCTACTTTACTTGAAAGTAGAGCTCACTACCTCCTGAATGACAAGGAATGACTCAAATTTGGCCCATTCTAAAATAAGTAATTCCAGGGTGCCTGGGTGGCTCATTCATTAAGCATTTGCCTTCAGCCCAGGCCATGATCCCATTAAGCATCTGCCTTCGGCCCAGGTCATTATCCCAGAGTCCTGGGATCAAGTCCCTCATCGGGCTCCCTGTTCAGCTGGGAGCCTGCTTCTCCCTCTCCCACTCCTAACTGCTTGTGTTCCCTCTCTCACTGTCTCTCTCTCTCTGTCAACTAAATAAAATCTTCAAAAATAAAAGTAACTAATTCCATATCTTATCCAATTGGAAAGTAAAACTAGGCCCTCAGATCTTGTCAAGCATTTTATATCAAGTACATGGTTAGTGTTGAGTATTCGATTATTTTTTCTTCTTTTTTTGCGTATGTCTTCTAGGCAATAAAATGTTTTTTTTCCCTATGGTGTCTAAAGCTATACTTAATCCTAAAGTCTAGTTTAATCAATGTTGTTTGATAACTGATTGAGACAGTTTTTCAACAGAATTACATAGTGTGTGCTTAATAGATTTTTGCTTCATTTTATAAATTTCTATAATGCTTTCATTGAGTATTAATAAAACTATTTCCCATGACTTAAAGCAAATTCTATGTTAGTTTCTGTACTTATTTCCCATGGGGTTTGAAATATTTAACTTTTAGGTTGTTTGATTTCTGTACAGTTGATAGGGGCCTGGAGCCTCTGTATAATGTCGACCAAATTAAGGACATCCCCTAACTAATGATTAAACAGAAACTAAACATTAAGGGAAAGATTTCAAAATTAGTACCATTATTATAAACCTCTAATAAGGCATTATTCACAGTATAAATTACCAACTGTCTTTGGTTATTTACTATTTGCAGAATCTGGGACTTACTGCTTTATTTCTGATGTGTCTTTTATGAATTATGAATGTGTGTTGTGTTTTAAATTATGAAATGTTCCACATAGTTGGATCATATGGTAATCATAATATGTAAGAAGCTTATCTGTTGTTTGAAAATATATGGGAATACTACTCAGTGATAAAAAGGAATAGCCTGTTAATACATGCAACAACATGGATCAATCAAAAACATACTGAGTTAAAGAAGCCAGACATAAGAGTATGTTTTGTATGATTTCATTTATATGAAATTACAGAAAAGGCAGTCCAGTCTATGACAGAGAGCAGATCAGTGATTGTTGGAATGAGGGGATGTTGACCGCAAAGTAACACAAGGGAACTTTTTGGGGTGATGGATATGCTTTTGATTGTAGTAGTAGTTATACAAGTGTATGTATTTGTCAAAACTTCTCCAGCTTGCTTATAATTGGTGAAAAAGGTGATTTTTGAAAGATCATATTGCTTCAGTGTTCTAGTACAGTATTTTCAGCATTATTTTCAGTATAGCCATCTTCAGAGATGTTAGCATACCTTCATTTTTGCTAAAGAGAAACATTAGACAACTCAAATTCAGAACAATGTGAAATTAGCACCAGGCTAAGCTCAGAGAGTAGCCAGTCTCAATAGGAGATGCAACTGCCTTTTATCTGAATTCTGATTCTGAATCTTGCCTTGGGAGGCACATTTTGAAGATGTGTGTGAGGATTCCTTTAATGGGGTTTCCTGCCTAATTAGTTATCTTCCCTATTTCTGACAACTTTCATCTCTTCTCAAACATCTTTAATCAGTTATCTGTATTCATCTTGAGTTTTTTTTTTTTAAACTCATGCTTTCTTATAATATTGTCTGCAACTTACTATGTAAGGATTTTAGCTCAGAGGGTACACTGAAATTTACTTGATTTCATTTTTCTTTGCCTCTTTTCTTAGCCAGATTTCTTCCTTAAGATGTTATCACTTGGAAGCTCTTCTTTTACTTGTCAGTATTCTGGCTTCTGTTCTCATCATTTCCCCCCCAAAAATGGTTTTGAAATGCTACCACTCAACTTTAGTCATAACGGTTTATTTTCAGTGTTGTTGACCTCTGCATTTGAGGTTATTGATTTCCTCTTGATAGTGAAATTCTTTCACCGTGACTTGTGAAGCATTACACACTTACTTTTTTTTTAAACAAATTTTCATTTGTTTCCATAAATTTTTTTAATTCTTCTTTAATTTCCTGATTGACCCATTCATTCTTTAGTAGGATGCTCTTTAGCCCCCATGTACTTGAGTTCTTTCCGACCTTCCTCTTGTGATTGAGTTCTAGTGTCAAAGCATTGTGGTCTGAAAATAGGCAGGGAATGATCCCAATCTTTTGGTAC